GCTGTTGACCGGGGGTCCTGCCTGCAACTCCTCAAATGTGGGTCAGCACTGTGGCAAGAAAGCAGCTGCTTTCTTCGGCTCAGCTGTGGCTGAACCCAGTGCCTGGCAAGAAACACTGCTGGTCCTCTCCCAGCACACCCGTGGTCAAGCTGCCCGGCCTCAGAGCCGGAGGGATGCATCCCAGGTGGACACTGCTTGATGAAGTACAGCAGCCCCGTGGAAAATGGAGAGGGACTTGCTGCAGGCTGCCCTGGCCCCGTGAACCAGAGCGGGAGGTTGAAGGCTCATGACCAGGAAAGTGCCTGCAGTAGGTGAGGTTTTGTCGGCAGAGAGGCAGGGAGTGGCGAGGTGGATGGGAGCCATGCTGTGCATTAGGGCTGCGGCTGGAAATCAAACAACCCTCGCTCACGCCTGAGCGGCTCAGCTACGTGGGGGCTCGGGTCCTGGGGAAGACCTCGCCTCTCCGCTCGGCTGGAAGTGAGGCTCTGGAAAGCGGGACCCCCCTCCTGGGGCATTCCTCATTCCCCGCCCCGGCTGCGCTCCCCAGCGAGGCCGTACTGAGCTGGCTTTGTTGCGTACTTGGAGGCAGCCCAGCCAGTGAGCGGCTCGGGACTGGAGGGCTTGCCTCGCCTTGCTGCAGAGGAGCTAAATATATACATACGTCTTGGCCACAAAATCACAGTGCGGCGTAACCGTCGGCACCGGCTGTGTGACGGGGGAGAGGAGCTGCCTGGACATGGCCGAGGAGGGCAGGAGGGGATGGGATGGGGGACGTGGGAAGATGGGGGACCGGCAGGGCACCACAGCTGGCGGCACGGCCTGGCACAGCCCATCATGGCAGGAAATCTTTAAGCCGTCCCTCTGTCTTTTCCATCTCCCGGCCACGCTGCGAGGGGCTGGGGAGGGGATGAGGCTGCCGGCTGCCTGGACTCTCAGCTTTGTTTCCAGCCATTTACCAGGCTCCTTTCCCTGCGCTCGTCTCTCTTGTTTGTTCCTTTGTGCCTGCGACTGCTTTGAAGCACATCTGCGGTGGGTCTGACAGCATCCCTCTCCTCCAGAGATGCCTGTAACTGGGTCCATGTGGGGATATGGCATCTTTATCACCAGACTGGGCTTTGTCGGCCCTTCGCCGCATCCTCCCAGGGCTGCGGTGGGATGTATGGGGCACAGCCCAGCCCTTTGCAGCGACGCGGCTGCAGCTACGGTTGCTTTTGCTGAATAAGCCTCCAGCTGGAAGCAGCGCTGACGTCAAACGTGGAAATACCTGTGCGAGGGCCCGGAGCCAGCTCGGCACAGCCCCCGACGCCGAGGCTGGGGGGAGGGATGCTCCCTTCCCACCCCGAAAAGATGCGCTCACCTCTGGCCCACACCAGCTGCCTTGCCCAGGCACGGCGGGTAATTAAGGGATGAGCTGCGTTGTCTCCAGGGTGGGGCTGCCACAGAGCCGTGGGGAGCAGACTGCCTCAGCAGCCCCCTCGGGCGCTTTCCTGCTCCTGCCCTCTGATTTTCCCTGGCTCTGGTTGTTGGCGTGGGCTGCACCCCCTGCACGGTGCAAATCCACTCCATGGGTACGTTCTGTAGCTGGCCACGTACCCGGCCGTGCCTCCACCTCTCCTCCACAGGGCCATTTCCCCTAGGGGAGAGGTTTATTATTAATGGGCACCTGGTGCCCGCCACAGCGAGCCGGGTAACCCAGGGCAGGCAAACCCTGAGTCACGCACATTTGGCAGAGGCCAAATTCCTGCAGCCAAGTACCCTTAACTCTGCCCTTCCTGGGGGGTGCTGCATGGGTGGTTTAAATTTGGCAGGCTTGAGGGGAGCATTTTGCCACGGGCTGAGCGTGTAGGTGCGGGATCCAGCAAGCCGGGCAGGACGTGTGTGCGCTCGGTGTGATGCTGAGAGGACGCGGGCGCTGGCCCGTCCCTTCCCGGCGTGGCTCGGCGTGGCGGGGCATGGCGTTCGGTGGTGGAGGCTGGGTGCGGTGTGACATCTAGCTGAGCAAAGCCTGCGTCGGAGCCCCGTGCCATCCTACGCTCCCTGTGCAGAGCTGGATGGAGCCCGGGTGCTGCTTCACCCCAGGCTGCTCTTGTAGTGCTGATGGTGGGGTTCCCCCCTGGCGTCGGGGGGTACGGAGCGGGGTTACTCCCAGCAGCTGCCCAGGGGTCTCTGCTGTGGCGGGGACGTGGCCAGAGACTTCTCCTCTGGAGCTGATGCAGATGTGGCCGGGTGACAGGAAATCCAGGCGCTGGTGCTTTCCCTCTGCAGTGATTTATGGGGCAGCGTGGCCATGGGCAGGACGCCGCTGCCCTGGAAATGGGCTGGGGTGGCTCCAAGCTGCTTCCTCTGCTCGGCGCAAACAATGCTGCCTGGAAAGCTGTGCCGGCCCCAGGCGCGGCCCCTGGGAGCCCTTGTTTGCAGCCAGAGGATGCCTGATGAGCCTTGGCACACCCGGGCAAGGGGCAGCCCCTGCGGTTCCTGGGCTGTCCCCATGCCCCGGGAGCAGGATGGTGCACTTGGCCCCCTCCTGCCCCGTCTCCTGCCAGGGGCTGCGGGTGCTAGCGAGGTCCCTCTTGCTCTGTGTGGCCCCGGGATGCCCTGGCGGGGGGGTGCATTTGTCAGGGAGCAGCAGGGATTTACAGCTGCCTGAAATATTACGGAGGGAGGGATATTAGGGGGCGTCTCATCTCGCGGGGGCAGGAAGGAGCTGGTGTGGGCTGTGGCCGGCTGTAATTGCAATGGCCTCTGGAAACATCCGCCGGGAGTTTCCTCCTTGCTTTGTACCCAGGGCCGCGACGGCGCTGGGCCGGGGCGGCGGGGGGAGCCGGGGGTGACGCAGCCGAAGCGCAGCCTGGCCTGGCTGTGCATCCGCTGTGACAAAGCCGAGCGGCTCTTTGGCCCCGAGCCCCTGGCTCAGCTTTCAGTCCATCACGCTCCGTTTCCCTCCCTGGTCACCCCGGGGAGGCACCCGTTCCTGCCGGAAAGGGCTGGGGGGATGCAGGGCTCCTGCAACAGCCCCAAGGCAGCGGGGTGCTGGGACCTCTGTGTGCCCCTCACTTTTGGGGAGCACTTGCGGGGGCTGGGGGCTGTGTGCCCTGGGGCTGGCCCTCTGCCCCCAGGGCTGGCCGAGGGCTGCAGAGGAAGGGGAGGGCAGGGTCCGGCCCTGGTCCCTTCCCCGCGTGCTGCCTGCTGCAAGGGGTTGGGGAAGCAGGAGCCCTCCTGAGCCCCCGGGCTTGGGGGCCAGCAGGGATTTGCCCTGGCAGCTTTCAGCAGGCAGGCACAGCCCCCTGGCTGCGGCAGGACACCCCTTCACCCTGCCGTCTGCTCCCGCCTGCGGTTTGGTCCAACAGCCTGGACTCGTGCGTGGCATCACTGGGAGGTCGGTTCAGAGCGGCTTCCAGCTGATGCTGGTCCCCCAAGCCCGTCCTCCACGTGCTTGCTTGGGGATGGTCTTGGGGCTCTCCCCTGCACCCTGGTGCGATGGCTCCGGCTCTGTCCCCTCACGCTGCCCTCCTTCGCCACCGGCCACCCCGCTTTGCACTGGGGCTGATTTTTTGGGTGGTGATGGCAGTTGTTTCAGCTTATCTTGGCCCTGTGACGTGCCCCGGACGCAGCTGTTTGCCTTGGGAGGAGGGTGGCTCTGGAAGCCAGGACCTGTCCTTGGGGAGCTCTTGACCCCCATCTTGACCCGATGCAAACAGGTGACATTTGCTGAGGTCCTCGGGGGGTAAAAAGGGCTGGGAAACCCGCCGTCGCAGAGGAGGTCTTCTTGTAGAGCAGGGCCAGGCTCCGGTTGCGCTTTTATTTGCTTGTTAAATATTTTATTTGGCCCTTCTGATTTAGTTTTACGGTGGCTTTAACAGGATCATGCTGTTTTCCAGCTGTCTCCGCACATGTGCAGGGGAGAGGGAGGGCGAACGGGAATCGGCGGGGGGCATGGGGCAGCGCCCAGCCCCCCAGGAGCTGGGAGGGAGTGGGGACGGCGGCAGGCCGGGGATGCAGGACAAGGACTGGCAGCCCGTGCTACCTCCCGGTGTGCTCCTGGAGACGTGCAGCTCAGGGCCAGCCGGAGGAGGTGCGTTCGTGTAACCTGTCTCAAAGCATTTTCCTTTCCTGAATTTGCCCACTGATGCTTTGAAACTGTTTTCGGTGCCGGCAGTGAGTTGCTCTGCAGGTTCGTGGCACTCCGGGGCAATGCAGGGACCATGCCCACCTACCTGTCTGCATGTTGCGCTTGCTCCCGGACTCGGGGTGAGGGGGGAGCACCCGCACGCCCAAGAGACGGGTGTTTTCCAGGGCCAAACATCCGTCCTTGGTGACGCTGGAGGCTGTCTGCCATCTGCGAGTGGCACCGGGGGCAGCTCCGGCTGAGGGCTGGAACCGCGGCTGAGGCTCCTCGGGGAGCACTGGGGAGCCCGAGAGGCTGGGCGTGTGCGGGGGAAGCGTGACGAAACGGGTGGGGTGGGCATGGTAACGCCAAATATTTGAATGGGAGCAGGGTCATTCTGGGTAACGTGGTGGGTAAAAATAGACGCAGGGAGTAGGAAGGCAAACGCTACCATTACTGGACTGGCACGTGGGAAAGGGCGGCTGTGCGACGGCGGAGCTGGCGCTGGGAGGGTCGGAGGCTGAGGGGCCCGTGCCCATGGCCTGACTGGCCCCGGGGGCCCTGTGGGCTGCAGCAGAGCGGTCCCTGCAGCATGGCTGATTTGCACGGCGTGCCGATGAGCAGCCCCCTGTGGTGCCTGGAGCTGGGCTTCCCCAGGGGCTTTAGCAGGTGCTGAGCAGTCGCTCACCCCTCTCTCGTGTTCCTTGCAGCCGAGAAGGTGTCCTCCCTGGGCAAGGACTGGCACAAGTTCTGCCTGAAGTGTGAGCGCTGCAACAAGACCCTGACCCCGGGCGGGCATGCCGAGGTAAGAGCTCGGGGGGAGCTGTGCTGCCAGGCAGGGGTGGCCTGGTGGTCTCCTCAGGGCTCTCCAGCACCCCAGAGGCAGGGAGTCCCACGAATCGGGCTGGGCCAGGTACCTGATGCCATGCAGATGGGCTGTCCCTGTGGCACGCAAGCTCAGGAGCGCACACTGTGGCTTCAAATGCTGCTGCTGCTGCTGCTGCTGTAACCCGTGGTGCCCGAGCTCTCCTGCACAGTCCTGGGCAAGCCACAGAGTGGTGCTGGCACCGCATGTGGTACCTCAGCTGTGCCACCCGGGTGTGGGCTCCCAGGCGGGGCTTGGCGTGCCCCAGCAAGCCCTTGAAGCAGCTCCATGCACCAGGCAGGCTTGTCTGGGTATTGCGCTGGCTTCGAAGGCGTGCGGGTGCTGAGAGCCTGCACCAGGCTGTGGTTAAAAACATCAAAAATCGGGGATGCGCGGGTTGCCGTGGCAATGCTAGCTCGGCACTGGTGCTTTCGGTGCCCTGGGGCTTGTGCTGGAGTGCGATGCCACCGTGGCTGCCCAGCGCGTGGGAGCGCGAGGGTGCCGTGCTGGCGGTGGCAGGTGCTCGGGCCTGGGAGCAACTGTGTTTTTCTTGTGTGATGCCCCGGCGTGACACTCGCTGCCCTGGGTTTTGCACAGCGCCTGTCATGCCAGAATGTCACCAGCTCTTTAGCACGGTTTTAGCACCCAGCGCAGCTGGGGAGCGGGCGGCGGTGGCAGGGACAGCCGTGCTGGTTGCCACCAGCCTGTGGGGGGAGTGGGGCCAGTCCTGCCAGGGAGGATGGGGCTGCACGGGTGGATCTGTGCTTCGGGCTGGGTTAAGCCTGGGGGATTTGCTGCTTCTCCATATAAGGCCAGATTCTGCTCCCATGGGGGACAGCAGCCAAGCCCCCCCCGACTGCACCGACAGCAGGATTTAGCCCTTCCCTGCTTTTCTCCCTCCTTTCAAGCCAGCATGTCCAGCCAGGTTGGAAAGGTGTCACTGGGAGATCAGCTAAATGTTTACCTTCCCCTCTGGCATGGTAACACTGCGAGCACGCTGATATTTATGCCTTGCGATATTTTGCAGCTGCCTGCTGCCAGCCCGCTGCCTGCTCGCTCCCGCAGCCTTGCCCCTGGCCGCTCCCAGCCCTTGCCTTTGGCACAGCACCGCTCAGGGAGGCGAGGGAAGGGACATCGCTTCTGCTCAGCTACTGCCCTGCCCGTTTTGGGCAAGGCGTCCTTGCCTTGCAGCAGAAGGGATGGAGGGCAGGAGTGCAGGGCACGAAGCAGGGCTGAGATGCTGAATGGAGCCGAGCAGACGATGGGGTGGGTTTGTGCCTGAGGACGGGGTCCCAGTGGATTTTCCACACGGGGCAGTGTGCGTGGCAGCCCTGCTGGCCCCCTGCCTCAGCCACAAATGCTCTTTCTTTTCTCTTGGACTCGGTTCCCAGTGGCTCACGAGAAACGGCTGTGGGGAGCTCCAGGGCTTATCGCCTGCTTCATGCCTTCCTGCGATAATCGCCCCCAGCCGATAGCGGGGCCGATAGCAGCTGGGCTGGGACCTGTGCCCATGTGGGGCCTCTGATCTCAGGCCAAGGCGAGGGAGGGAGGCGAAGCTCGGTGGCAGCCAGAGTGCTCTGTGCTCCTAATAACGTCCTGACTGCGCGCAGGATGCTTAACGGGCAAAGTGATGCCTTACTGGGCCCCGGTGGCACCCCGCCGGGTTGGGACTTGGAGAGGCCTCTCAGCTGAACTGCCGCAGGGTGCCGGTGCTCCAGCCCCGCGGTAGGGCACGTGCAGAACGGCCAGAGTGTTTGATGCATGCGAAATCCTTGAGTGCTCGGGTCGGGTTAGGCTGTCGCTGGCAGACCTGCAGGCTGGGTGCGTTTTGGGGTGTAGGCATGGCCATGGTGGTCTCTGAACACCAGTGGGGATGGAAGCAATCCTGAGGGAATTGTCGTCTCCACTCAGCATCCTAACACTCCCCTCTCTCTCCAGCATGATGGGAAGCCCTTCTGCCACAAGCCCTGCTACGCCACGCTGTTTGGCCCCAAAGGTATGTCCGTGCTACCCCTGTGTGGCTGTGCCCAGGGCTGCAGGAGGGGCCAGGTCCCCCCATCCCTGCTGGTGGGAAGCTGTGGCCCCGAAAGCATCCCAGGAGCCAGGCTAGCATGGGCTGAGCATCAAGCCAACACTTTGCAGTCCCAACCCTGCCGTCCCCTTGTGCAGAGGGAGAGGAGAGCTGCTGGAGGGAGAGATCTGTCCTGACAGCTGTCTTTTTTTTTTTTTTTTAATATTTAAAAAACAAATTCCCATTCAAACAGAAGGTGGAGTTGCTCTCCTATCCTAGACGTGGCTGACGAAAGACTGGATTAGGAGAAAGCAAGCTGGAGCTGAGGTGCAGCCGTGTCTGCAGTGGCCCTGTGGCTCAGCGGGGCTGGGGGAGGTGGGACAGGGCTGGGGGGAGGATGGAGACCCCGAGTGCTCCCAGGCCACCGCAGCCTCTCTCTGCCCCACTGCAGGGGTGAACATTGGCGGTGCAGGGTCCTACATCTATGAGAAGCCGCAGATCGAGGGGCAGACCGCTCCGGGACCCATTGAGCACCCAGTGAAGGTGGAGGAGAGGAAGGTGAATGCCGCACCTCCCAAGGGACCCAGCAAAGGTGAGGGGCAAGGCGGGATGGGCAGCCTGGCCCTCCGCTGTGGCGTTCAGCCAGATGGTGCCGGGTACAGGGTGTGTGTAGGGGGTCCTCCGCACCTGTGTGTCCTGGCTGAGATGTCTCTCTGCTTCCCACACCCGTGCCCTCTCTCCTTCCAGCCTCCAGTGTCACCACCTTCACCGGGGAGCCCAACATGTGCCCGCGCTGTGGCAAGAGAGTCTACTTTGGTAAGGTGGCAAGCGGGCAGTGGGTGCATGCCCTGGGGTGGCATGGCCCCATGGTGCTGGGGCTCTGTGCAGGACCCCTGGGGCATGCAGAGGGGCTGGGAGGGAGTTTTGGCTCAGAGATGGGGTTGGGGGCACAGAGGAATGTGCCCGAGGAGCCTGCAGATATGGGTCCTCTTGGAGGAGCTCCTGGGTGCAGGGCTTCATCTGCATCGTGTCCCCTGCTGTCACCTCCCAAGTGGGTGGTGTGGGCTTAATAGCTGTCCTCGGCCAAACTCTGTCACCTGCGAGGCAGCAGAGGGGTGGGAGAGACGCAGGAGGCTGGGGTGCAGAGGGCTGTCTCGGGATTTTGTATGCAGAGGTGATGACCCCACAGGGCATGCTCCCCCTCGGCATGTGTGCAGGGGGGCCGGTGTGACCCTCCCTCCTTGTCCCCGCTCTAGCTGAGAAGGTGACTTCGCTGGGGAAGGACTGGCACCGTCCCTGCCTACGCTGTGAGCGCTGCAGCAAGACGCTGACCCCAGGGGGCCACGCCGAGGTAAGGGTGTCCCGGCCCGAGAACCCCGGGCAGTGCTCGTGGGGGATGCCAGCAGGGCATGGCTGAGCTGTGCCATGCTGTGCCGCGCCGCGCCGGTTGGGCAGCCCCTGCCTTTGCAAGAGGGCAGGGCAGGGCTGGCAGGAGCAGCTCCTGCAGCCTGGGGGAGCGCTGGGGGTGCTGGGGTGCGGGTGTCTGCAGGGGACGAGCAGAGCAGGAGAGGTGCCCAGCCAGGGGGACGTGTCCTGCGGACTGGCCTTTCCCCTGCCCCTGGTGATGTGCTTCCCTCTCTGTCCCGCACAGCACGACGGACAGCCGTACTGCCACAAGCCCTGCTACGGGATCCTCTTTGGGCCAAAGGGTGAGTGCCTGGGGGTGCATGGGGTGGGGAACCAGGCCAGGGACATCTCCCTGGAGCATGCCACCTTCCTGTCCGGGTCTTCACCCTCCTGCATCTCCCCCCGTGTAGGTGTCAACACCGGAGCTGTGGGAAGCTACATCTATGACAAAGACCCCGAGGCAAAGAACCAGCCCTAGACGGCATCCCCGTGCCCGCCCGCTCTGTGCCCCCGTACTAACCTGCTGCACGCAGCCGGAGCAGACCCTCGCCAGGCTGGCCACGGAGCTGTGCTCTCTCTGCTGTCTCTACTCCGGGCAGGACGGCCCTGCCCCCCGGGTTGTATATCATAGTCTCTAATATAAGCTTCAGTGTTTAAAGGCAAAGGTAGAAGGTGTCTCTGGTGGTTCCCAATGCGCTCTGCCCTCCCCAGCCCTCCCACCAGCCCCCCAGGCGCAGGAGGCAGCAGGGTGGGCGTGGGGGTGTCATCGTGTGCAGGGGACGGCGGGTGGCACCCAAGGGGCTGAGAGCAGGGGGAAGGTGGTGGCAGGAGTCCCACCACGGGAGGGTGCTCCTTGCTGCCCCCAGCACTGAGGGCCATGGAGCCGGCCAGTGTGCTGCGGCGCTTGGGGATGGGGGCTGGTGGTCAGGGCGCCCAGCCCTGTTCCTCGCCAGCTGCTGGGGATGTGCGGGTCCCCTGAGGGCTCTGGCCCATCTGGCAGCACTGCCCTTCTCCTGGCCCTTCCTGGGCTCCATGCCCTGGCTCTCGCTCTCCCTGGGGCACGCGGCCAACCCCAGCCGCCATTGGGGTTGCAGAGTCTGGCACCTCCCTGCATCCCCATCCTTGCGCCCCCAGGGCATCCCTGTACGTGCACCCAGGCAGGCGCCCAACCCGCTCTGCTGGCTGGTTTGGGTTGGTGGCCCCCCCCAGCCTGGTCCCCCATGGTGGCAGAGCCCATGCCGGGGGGGGGCACCCAGCGGCTGCAGCCCTGGGGGAGTCAGCTGCTCCCCGCCTTCGGAGGGCAGAGCGCATTGGGCTGGCGGCTCAGTGGCGGGACGCCCACCTGCTTCCCAGAGCCAGAGGTTTCTCGTTGTTGTTTATTTATAAGCAGTTGTAAATGTGCCCCTCGCTTTGGAGAATG